TTTTAGAAGGTCTCATTGATAATTTTGTTTTCTCCTGGTTGTAGGTTTTTCCATTATGCTTGAAAAAAACTGTTCTTACTGTGTATTAGGGCTTCTAGTGTTCTTCCAAGCTTTTCTCTGATGAAGTTCCTAGTCTTTGGTTTTACTCCTAGGGCCTTGATCCACCTTGAGTTGGTTTGTGTGAATGGTGTGAGATGTGGGTCTTGCTTGAGATCAAAGATTTCAGTCTTCAATATAAATTACACCTCATTATCAATAAAATAAAAATCCTTACAGATGGACTAGTAGGCAACATCATGATAAATGGAGAAAATATTGAAGTTGTCAAGGTTTTTATTTTGCTTTGCTCCACAATCAACACCTATGCTTACAGCAGTCAAGAGATTAAAAGATGTGTTGCATTGGGAAAGTCTGCTGTCAAAGAACTCTTTCAAGTGCTCAAGAGCAGTGATGTAAGTTTAAAGACTAAGGTGTGTCTTACCCAAGCCATGGTATTTTCAGTTGCTTAATCTACATGTGAAAGCTGGATAAGGGATAAGGAAGACTGAAGAAGAATTAATGCCTTTAAATTGTGGTGTTGACGAAGAGTGTTGAATATACCATCTCTGCCAAAAGAACAAACAAATCTACCTTGGAGGACATGCAGCTATGATGTTCTTGGAGGCAAGGATGGTGAAACTTCAGCTTGCATACATTGGACATGTTGTCAGGAGCACATCTGGAAAAATGTTTACTTGTGTTTTATTGACTGTGCAAAGATACTTGACTGTATGGATCAGAATAAATTATGGCTCACATTGAGAAGTCCTTGGAAAAGGAATCATGCTTTGAAAAGTAGAGAGTTCTAGAAAAAGAGAGAACCCCTCAATGAGATAAACTGATAGTGACTCTGGGACTTACAAGGATGGCACAGGGCAGGACAGGGCTTTAGAGTGGTGTTCATAGGGTCACTGTGAGCCAGGGTCAACTTGCTTGTTGAAACTGAGGATGACCTGAAGCATTTGCTGCAGAAGATCAAGGACTTCAGTCTTCAATATGGATTGAAGCTCAACATCAAGAAAACAAAAATTCTCACCACTGGGCCAATTGACAGTACCATGATAAATGGAGAAGAGATTGAGATTGTTAACAATGGCAGCTTGGTTGGTTCCACAATCAACACTCTTGGTACCAGCAGTCAGGAAATCAAAAGACAAATTGTGTTCTAGAGCTCTATGCCAAAAAAGTAACAATGTCAGTCTAGAGACTTAAGTTGCACCTGATCAGGGCCATGGTCTTCCCAATTACTTGCTATGCTCAGAGAGCTGGACAGTGACTGAGGGTGATAGAAGACGAATCAATGCCTTTGAGTTGTGATGCTGGAGAATGGTACTGAACATACCATAGACCACCAAGAAAACAAACAAGTCTGTCCTGGAGTGGGTAAAACCAAGCTGCTCCTTGGAGGAAAGGATTTTGAAGCTCAGTCTCATATACTTTGGGCATGTGGCCAGGAAGGACTTTGGAAAGGTGGAGGGACAGCACAGGAGAGGAAGACCCTGGATGAGATGGACTGACATAGTAACTGAGATAGGTGTGTCAGAGATGAGGAGATTGGCTCAGGATAGGGCAGGTTCAGAGCTATTGTACATAGGGTCGCTACAAGTCACAGGTAACTCAATGGCATATAACAGCAACAACAAGAAGCTCTGCAAAATAATACAAAAATAACACAAACTCACTGCTCTTGAAGTAGTCTTAACTCCTTGTGATTTGGTAGAACTGTCCCATATGCTTTCCAGGGCTGTAAATCTTCATGAGACTGTCCCATCTTTCTCCTGTGGAGCAACTAGTGTTTACCAACCACTTATTCTTCGGCTAGCAGCTAAATGTTTAACCAGCATGTCATTAGGACTTCTTTAGTCTGCTCGATAATAGGGGGATCCTAGGGGAGGTAGATAATCTCCATCCTCATTATGGAGTCTCTGGGTTGCAGAATTGCCTGTTGTTGTTGTTGTTGTTATGTGCCGTCGAGTCGTTTCCGACTCATAGCGACCCTATGCACAACAGCCCTAAACCCTGCTCTATCCTG